AGCATACCTCACCATGCACAGTTCTGCGGAGCATCTTCTTTGACGAATGCCATTTTCTTCTCTTCGCCGTCTTCTTTGCCTCAGGCTTCAGTCATCGCGGCTTAAGCTCATTCATGGTGGCATAAATAGCTACTTCATCTTCTCTGCGCTGTTCGCGGTATAAGGCCACTGTTTACCTCCGCCGATCTTCTGACGGACGCCTCAATGCTTCCCCTTTTCTGTGCCGTTAACATCGCCAACACCGCCCTCAACCTATTTCCGATTCTGATTTGCAACACAGCACCTCCACGATCATCTCCTTCCGGCCGCGATTCATTCCCTCGAAGCTCACTTCTTCGCCTCGCTCTCACCCGCTTTATCAGTCGCGTCTCAATCTTTCTGTTTCACCTTCAGAACAAGCCATCAAGCAAACATCGTATACCATGGATCCACGGATCCGATCTATACCTGAGAGAAATCTGGCGTTTCTTCGATTCAGGTACGATTTAGTCCATATTTCTAATTACTCGGCATTTCTTCTTCTTCCGTGTTCTTGTGTACCAGTGTTGTTGTTGATTCTGATTCAGATAATGTGAAGTCGAATTTGAACGGAGAAGAAAATTGATGTGGTTGTGGATTTTGATATTGTTGCAATCTTGTTGCAAATTCACATAGATGATGATGATGATGGAAACATCGCGTTGGTATTATTGCTGTAATCGTGAAGCTGATGGGGATGATTATGGAGCGAAGAGAAAGAGTGAAGGTAATGATGGTTGAAGTTGCAGAAAAGCTCTGAAGATGATGATTGTAGAGAGAGAAGAGATCTTTTTTTGGTGGTGATTCTTCTCTAATTTTTTAGAATGAAGATGAATCGGTGAGTTCTTTGTTGAACCCTTTTGATGAATTCTGTTGTATTCTGTTCTGCCTCCTTTTCTTCAATCTCGGATTCACCTCTATTATGATTCTGTTAGGTTGGTTTGGTAATTGGTTAGGATTGGTTACATAATTCTGTTTAGAAAATTCTGTTGTGGATTGTTAAAACAGTTGGGATTTTCTGTTGAAGTTTGTTAATTTTTTTTTGAAACTGAAATTCAGTTATGTGGCCTTGAAATGAGTTGGCAATTCTGATTTACTGCTCTCCTCCCATTATTTTCTGATTTTCTATTCTGATGCTTTCTTCTAATTTCATTATGCAGTGCAATCTGTACTTGGACCCTTTTTAAGGCTTTTTCTTCTATCTCAGATTGACTTAACCAGTGCAGGGCTGACTCCTGTAGTAGCCTGATTCTATTGTCGAACATAACTGTTTTGGGATCTGGTTTATGAAGCCGATATTGCTCTCTTGAAGAATCAATTGCAGAAAAATGATGAATGTGCGTAGTTTTTGAGATGAATTTGCAGCTTGCACTAGTTCTGCCTTAGATCTGTTTAGAATTTGGTGTTTCGCATGAAGTAACTTTTGAATGAAAATGTTCTGTGTAATTCCTTGTAATGATGCGATTGTACTTTGTATGCCATCCTTATGAACTCTTAATGTGAACTTTGAAGCTTGAATGGATATTTGGACATAACTTGTAATGGCCATTGAAACCTTTGTAATGGTTTTTTGAATAGTCGAAACTCGAACCTTTAACCAAGATAAACATAATGCTATGTAGACTTGACTCAATCACCAAATACAAACTTTGTGCAATATGGCCATATCAATGCGCCCAAAAATTTCTTAGCCTTTTCTTTCAAAATTCTTTGGTTTACCTCGACTGAATCTTTGAATGAGATTTTGCATTATGAATGAATCTTGCAATCTTAAAATACTGATCCACTTGAATGTTTTGCAAGTAGAACCTATCCATATAAATGGGCTTTCCAATCTACATGCTTGAATCGACCATAAGGGACTCATAAATCGAAACTTTGAATTATGCTCCTTGATCATTTGCCAATGGAATTCACAACACATCTCTTGTACCATGTCTTGTATTTTGCAATCCAATTCCACTATATCTCGACTTGATGAGTAACAAGATAGCCTAGTTCACTTGCGTTTGATAAAATTTGATAATCAAGGTAGCTCGAGATGATAGGAGAACCAAAACCTTAGCTTACAATTGAATTCTTGATGAAGCATAACAAGTAGAAAACCCTAGCATCCTTCCCTGCTTGTTGAAGAAGCAGCTTGAATCTCTTGGATGAAGTTAAGAGCCTCAGAGCCTTAAAGAAACCCTAATTCTTTGAAATCTTTGATCACATGCCAAATTGTGTTGTTAGCGAATGTATGCAATGTTAAATGACCTAATGGAGATACGTACATGAGAAAAGTGCGACAATGCATAAACCAGATAAAAGTAGAAGGGTGGGACAAATTTGGGGTATTACAGCGTGACCTACCTATGGGATCCAAAGATAAAAATATCCGAAAAATAAAGGTAATAGAAAAGGTGAATTTGATTGAAAGTAGCCTTGAAAAGACACTGGAAAATAATAATAAATCCCACGATTGAAAAGTGTGCTCTTGAAGAAGCACGAGATGATGATAATGAGATCATTGATAATGAAATTGAAAACAAGAATGATATCGAGATTTCAATTAATTATGTTAATATAGGAAATTTGTTGAACCGAAAAGGTATGAATATTGATGAGATATTTTCATTCTCATTTGCATGTGAAATTATGAATAAAAATGATGATCTGAACCCCGATCTATGAATGAATGTCAAAATAGACATGATTGGAAAAATTGGAAGGATGTTATAGATACTGAATTAAATTCTCTTAAAAACGAAATGTATTTGGCCCTATTATGGCTATACCAAAAGATGTGAAACCAGTTGGATATAAGCGGATCTTTGTAAGAAAACGAAATGAGAAAAATGAATTTGTCAAATACAAAGCTCGTCTTGTTGCACAATGTTTTTACCAAAGACCAGGAAAATTGATTATGAGGTAACATATTCTCCGGTTATGAATGCCATTAATTTTTGTTATTTAATTAGTTTATCAGTATTTAACAATCTTGATATGTATCTTATGGATGTTGTTACTGCTTATTTATATGGGTCACTTGACATTGATATATACATGAAAATCCCAGAAGGATTTAAAATGCCCGAGACATCAAAACCTAGAGAAATGTATGCAATTAAGTTGCAAAGATCATTATATGGATTAAAGCAATTCGGGCGCATGTGGTATAATATATTAAGTGAATATTTACTTAAAGAAGACTATGAGAATAATCCTATTTGCCCTTCTGGTTTTATAAGAAAAACAATATCTGATTTTGTAATAATTATTATCTATGTTGATGATTTAAATATCATTGGAACTAATTAATAAATCAATGAAGCAATAGATTACTTAAAGAAAGAATTTGAAATGAAAGATTTGGGAAAAACTAGGTTTTGTCTTGGTTTACAAATTGAGTATACTAAAAATGGTATATTGGTACATCAATCAAATTATACAGAAAGGATATTGAAAAGGTTTAACATGGACAAAGCAAACCCTTTGAGTACTCTAATGAAGGATATAACACTTAATGTTGACAATGATCCATTTAGATCTAAGGAAGGTAATAAAGAAGATCTTGGCTCTGAAGTGCCATATCTCAATGTCATTTGGGTACTCGTGTACCTTGCTAACTATGCAAGATCTGATATAACTTTTGCAGTGAATTTGCTAGCAAGATTCAACCCATGTCCTACAAAAAGATATTGTAAAGGAATAAAGCATATATTTCGATATCTTCGAGGTACATCTGATCTTGGTTTGTTTTATTCTAACAATACAAAACCAGTTTTGATTGATTATGCAGATGCAAGATACTTGTCAGATCCACATAATGCTAAATCACAAACTGGATATATATTTATATATGGTAACACTGCAATGTTATGGAGATTGCAAAAGCAAACACTTGAAGCAACTTCTTCAAATCATGTTGAAGTAATTACCCTTCATGAAGCAAGCGAAGAGTGTAAATGGTTACGATCGGTAACTCGACATATCCAAGGAGCGTCTGGTTTACCGATTGATAATAACCCAACAATTTTGTATGAAGAATGATGCATGTGTTACCCATATGAAAGAAGGTTACATAAAAAGTGACAGAACCAAGCATATCCCTCCCAAGTTTTTCTCATTCACACAAGAACTTGAAAGAAACAAAGAGGTTGATATTTAGTATATTCGTTCAAGTGATAATGTGGCAGATATCTTTACAAAGGCACTTCCTACATCAGTTTTAAAGAAGCATGTACAAAATATTGGAATGCGTCACCTTCGAGATCTTTAAAGAAGACTATATGTGTTCTGTTGAGGAGGAGCGTAATGTTGTACTCTTTTTTCCTTTATTAAGGTTTTTATTCCAATGTGTTTTTTCTTATAAAATTTTTAACGAGGCAACGTATGTTCCCATAAAATTCTCCTCAACAAGGTTTCAAATGAGCACTATGATAGATATTTCTAGGGGGGGGGGGTTGTTATAATAATGAAGAATATTATTATAATTATTTAGAAATTTCTATCTAATAATCAAACTTAAAATAGTAATAACAAATTATTGGTGATGTATAATTTGTCAAAGATAGAATAGTAATACCAATCATTCACTTAGTATAATATTAATATTTTTACTAGTATAAATACCCGTTTTGATAAATATAAATGTACACACCAAGTTTTATTTTGAAAGATAGAAAAATATCATTCCACTTCCTTCATCATTTTCTCATAGTTGGATATCATAAATATTATATCTAATTTTTTTCAACTAAATTAGATTGAAATATCTAACTTTTCTCAACAAAATGTTCATTTTAAATTTTAATAAAATATATATACCCAAAAATTAATTAAACAAGACGGTCCAACATTAAAACCGTATAAAGAAAGCCCAAAACTCAAAGGCCCAAAAGAATTCTATTAGGAATATATAAAACGGGTTCGCCCATTTTACCACACCATACTAGGGTTTTGAAGTTTTGTCAGTCGGCAGCATCTGAAGGTAAGCAGCCATGGCAGTAGGGAAGAACAAACGGATTTCAAAGGGAAAGAAGGGTGGCAAGAAGAAGGCGTAAGTTTCCACTCGCTTAATTCTTAATTTCTTAATCTCAATTAACTATTTTTGCTCTTATTCTCACTCTCTATTGCCGATTCACAGCGCTGATCCCTTTGCAAAGAAGGACTGGTATGACATCAAAGCCCCTTCTGTATTCCAGGTCAAAAATGTTGGCAAAACACTTGTCTCCCGTACTCAGGGTACCAAGGTCAGTTTTTCAACACCTTTGATATTTGTTTTTTATTTTTATTTTTTTAGATTGATCTCTATCTATATGATTGCATACAACCTTAGTTAACAAATAATCAATTTATATGGTTGACAAATGATTCTTTGATGTTTGTATATAACAGATTGCTTCTGATGGACTCAAACATCGTGTGTTTGAGGTGTCATTGGCTGATCTTCAAGCAGATGAAGACAATGCTTTCAGGAAGATCAGGCTTAGGGCTGAAGATGTTCAGGGGAAAAACCTCCTCACCAACTTCTGGGTATGTTTGTGGCTTTTCATTTTTAATTGTCTTGATGATTTCTGAATGATTAATTGTCTTCCTGGATTCTGTATGATTAATATATGTTTAATATATGTTTACTATGCAGGGTATGGATTTCACAACTGACAAGCTCAGGTCACTGGTTCGCAAATGGCAAACTCTTATCGAAGCCCATGTTGATGTTAAAACCACTGATAATTATACTCTTAGGATGTTTTGCATTGGGTTCACTAAGAGGCGAGCAAACCAAGTTAAGAGGACTTGTTATGCCCAATCAAGCCAGATCAGACAGGTATATATTGCTGTTTCATTTGTACATTATTTTCTTTACACTTATCTTTGCTACTATGTTTCTTCCAAATTAGCTTGATTCAGACTCTACAAATGAGTTAGGATTTAACTCTGCCATGTATCCCACAAACTTTGTTTATATTTTTAAACACCAGTTGTATTTTGATTTTGATGAAGATATTGCAGCCTAGGGTTTAGCTGTGCCTATGTTAACTCCATATTTTATTTTTAAAACTTCAATTGGTTTGATTCTAAGTGGTAGTTAACTCTTGATGAAGAAATTGCAGCATTAAACGTTTTGTGTTTTGTCTTGTTTTTTTGTAGATCCGTAGGAAGATGAGGGAGATTATGGTTAACCAGGCAACATCCTGTGACCTGAAAGAGCTTGTGCGCAAATTTATCCCTGAGATGATTGGAAAGGAGATTGAGAAGCACACATGTGGCATCTACCCTCTCCAGAATGTTTTCATTCGTAAAGTCAAGATCCTGAAAGCTCCTAAGTTTGATCTTGGGAAACTGATGGAGGTATGGTTTGTTGTTCAACATATTACTTTAAAAACATTTAACTATTCCTGCAGAGAATAAAATTTTCAAACGAAGTGTATGTTTCAATCATGATTCGTTACCATCTCCTTGTTGAAATGAGTGATTTTTAAGTCTGTCAATCAATGTGTGTTGTTAATTGTATAGAGTAATTTCAAATATAAACTATTTGATGTACATTTTTTTGTATAGTTACTTAGTCTGTTCTGTTATTTGTCATAGGTTCATGGTGATTACTCAGAAGATGTCGGCACCAAGGTGGAAAGACCAGTTGATGACACAGTGGTTGAGGGTACCCCCGAAATTGTTGGAGCTTGATCCAACTAGTTATGCATTTTTGTTTGTTTAGGATGTATGCTGTTTTCCCCCAGTTTTGTTGACTAAAGTTTTTATTCACAATTATTTCTGGATCTTTTTTAATTCATTATCAAGAATTGGTACAATTTTGGACCTAAGCTTCAGCCTTACCTTATCATACTCTTAAATTGTGTGTTGAGTTTTACTTATTGGTAACCTTACCTTGTCATGCCCTAAATTGTCTGAGTTTTTTTGTTTTTTCTTAAGTGAAAACGTTGCAATATTTTATTAAAATGTATTTTGGTTGAAAATATCAAATATTGAATAGGGGTTTGTAGGGTTGGCCAGTGTGATTCAAGTTCGGATCATTTGCTGTATTTTGATTCAAATTTGCATGGCAAGGCAAAGAAGAATGGCACTCAAAAATGTGCTTCAAAAATCTTAATTAAATTTGGTTTTAAAAAAATATATTAACTACATGTTATATTTTTATTCCTCAAGAGAACCCTCCATCCTTTTTGAAACCATCTTTTTGCCACATTCAGCAGAAAGCTACTCTTGCAATTATTGAAGAATCAACTATATAAAAGGTTAGCATAATCGTAACATTATTCTGATTTTTTTTATGGTATTATGAAGTAATGATAATTTTACTATCAATATGGGTTGCTAACATAACAGTACACTATAAACGAGCTGCTGGTAGAGTTTAATGATCATTATATTTCTTTTTTAATCATGTTTTATGAGAAATTCTCTTTATTCCTTTTCGACCAGCTTTCTATAGATCTAAACTTCACTCCCTTTTGAAAGGTGCAAGCCATTGTTTATATGTTAATGTTCATTGGAGATCCTGTCTTGCATCATGAACACTAGATTTAATTTTGTCTCTCACCCGACATTCTATAATCTCTTATTTTCATTCAAGAATCTTAAATTCAGAAATAAAATAAAGTTTCTACTAACTGCATTATTGTGAATCTCACTGAAAGTGAGAGCTCTCAGCCTCAAATTCCACTCATAACCTTAATTTTCTCATGTTTGCGTCTCCAACCAACTCAATTTTGGTTATCGAGATTGTGATAATCAATTTTGTGGTCATGGTTATCATGGTGGAAGAAACATAAGTCGTTGTGTTCGTGGTGGAAGTAAAAGTTACATGAGTCGTTGTGTTTGTTGTGGAAGTATAAAAGTTACACGAGTCGTCGTTGTGTTTTTGGTGGGAAGTAGAGGTTACATGTAATGTCTAATTTGTTACAAGAGAGTTACATGTAATGTCTAATTTATTACCAAAAACCTTGTGAGTGTTTTTACTAGGGATAAAGATAACTCTATTTATTTTGAATTCTAAGTTAATACATGTTCTTTCTCCTCGTAATCCCTAGACGAGGACGCACGTGAAAGGCGACTCCTCGGAGCAAAAGTCGATGTTCCCTTTACTTCCTCCCGCGGTACTCGACCGCGTCCTCAACGTCTCGTAGTCTGGTCAGTTCTCTCTTATCGAGCGGATGCAGTTTGGCTAGCCCTACCAATTCACAATTTGTTAGGGTTCTCTGTTATTTTTTTTGGAAAACAGATAATCATTAATCAAATCAAAGGTAAGTGAATGAACAAGAACATGTTTGAAAATTAAAAAAAATTAATCCAGACCATTTTTCAGAGATGCTTCTTGAAACTCCTCAAAGGGTTTTTCGGAAATGTATCTCCGAAAAAACCTATGACTTCCATAACCAAATCTTCAACCTAACAGTACAATTGTTACACCAAAATCCAATTTTTACACTTAAAAGCAAGTTTTTTACAAATTACACATAATCTAAGCAACTTAAAATTGAAATGCAAAGATAAAAAAAATCGGAGAACTTACTCAAATTTAAAGTTTTTAGAGTTGTTGAAATGTGTTGAAATTGAGAGTTGAAGTGAGTTGTAACAAGTGCTAATGAGTAGATATATTTGAATGAGTTTTGAAAGTAGAGATTTTGGAGGTTTTTGGGGTGTTTGATAGTTAGAAGTCGGAGGAAATGAGAATAAGGGGTGACTGTTCGTATTTGTTAAATAAATGTTCTAATTTGAAGATCTATCTCCGAAACACTCTTAATTTTGAAAAATAAAAGATTTCGACTACATCTTCAAAAATACCCTAGAAAAAATTAATTATGATGCTTTCGGAGACGTATCTCCAAATTTTAAAGATAAAAATAGAATTTCATCATAAATGACTAAAATGATATAAAGGTAGAGAAAGAAATGCCTACCACCTATTTCTTAATCCTTGTTGATTCATGTAGACATTTTAAGCGAGCTTATCCCCTTAAACAAAAACTCCACACCTTAGCCACATTTATTGAATTCAAAACTTTAGTTGAATTACAATTAAACCACAAAAATAAAGTATGTCCAAACAGATGATGGACATGCATTTCTCTCTTTCATTCTATTTTTATCTTTTTTTCAACATCACACTTAAAATCACCGGACCTTACACACATCACCAAAATGATTTTATAGAAAAATAACACAAACACATTGTTGAGACATGTCTAACTCTATTGGCTTAAGCTAAATTATTTATCCCTTTTGGGATCATGCCTTTCTAATTTCCATGTACCTTATCAATAAACTTCTATCATCTTTTTTGGCCAACTCATCTACTTTCTTTCTCTTAAACTTTCAATTCCTTGACTATAAGTTTTAAAAAATTTCTTGGACGTGTCTGTTTTCTTTTTCTTATGCCTTACAACTCGCATAAACTTTCCATGCATTTCACAAAATGTGTATTTTTTTGGTTACTGTCAAAAATAAAGAAAGAATCTTGATTCTAGTTTTATCTGTTGTGATGCAAATTACATAGTTACAAGAGAAAAAAACAACAAGGCTATATTAATTTATTTTATCCATTAATGATGATTTTTTTTCTTCAATTAGTTTATGTTAGACCAATCACCAGAGCCATTACTAATTCTAACAAAATATTATAATAATATTCTCTCTATTTTTATTTATAAACAAATTTTAATTTTTTAGATTAATTAAATAAATAAGATATTTAATTTATATATAAGTTAGATACATCAATTATTCAATGAATTTAAAAAGTTAAAATTTATTTATAAATAAAAAAGAAAGGAATAAAAATTTAAAAAGCATAGTAATAATTATAACAAAATAATAATTTAAAAGACATGCTTAAAGTAAATAACGCAAATAAAAAAATGAGAATAATGTAAAATAAGTAATAGAATGAGAAAAAAAAAAGGATTAAATAAATTTGATTGTATTAAAATGTGGTGAAAAGTTTAAAAGAATGAAAAATTAAGAGTCTGTTTGATTTAATAGAGGAGAGGGGAAGAGAGGGGAGAAAATTTAATTAAATATATGTTTGATTCAAAGAAGGGGAGGGGAGGGGAAATTTTTTTAATATTAAATTACTTTTTTGTTCTTAAAAATATTATTATTTGTACTTAGTAAAAATAATTTCAAATAAAAATAATTTCAAATAAATTTCACCAAATAAAAACTTTTTCATTCATAAACCACACATTTAAACAAAATATCTAAAAAATATATTAAATTGAACAAAGTATTCAGAAACAAATTAAATCATAAATAAAATATTTATAAAAGTAATATTTGCTTAGTATTGTGTAAAAGAAAAGCCTCCTTGATGTTTAGAACAAAATAATAAATATAAATTGGCTATTATTGATGATTTTTTTTTGTAATAATCATGTATTGAAAAAATTCACAAATAACCACGTTTCAGAGAAAATTACGCAAATAATTATATTTCGCAAAACATTAACATGCATGAGTCAAGTGAGATGACACATCCACTTGAAGTTTAGCCTTAGGCGCCATCCCACATGACATATACATTGTCCTCAAGTCATGTGAGATGGCACATGCTCTATATTTATGGAAGGAAGCGCTATCTGAGATGGTTACTACACGCAATTATGTTTTCTATAAATAATTCATCTCTTTCTCTAATATTTTTCACACTTTCTCACATTCTATTCTCGTTTTCTCTCTGTTTTTTTCGTAATGACATCTCCCATGATTTTCACGAGAGATGGGTACGTTATTTTCTCGGCCACCAAACCTCCGATAAAAATGAAATTTTAGCACATTCATTTCATAGAGCGTCTGAAGAGAGAGTTGTGAAATGGTTAGACGGAGACATCAAAGTTGGCGAACAAATTAGAAGGATCCAGAGAAGAAGAACGACCATCTCACTTGCAACTGAAAGACCTCACAGTTGGTTGGAGAAAGTCAAAACAGACAAAAACGTAATGGTGAGATGTACGAATTCGATGAAATTGTTTTGACGGTTGTAATTTCTTAGATATGTTGTTGGTTTATCTAGTGTCTGTATTACTGTTTTAATAAATGTTGTAACAAATGTTAGTAATGAAAAACATTCTATTGAGATATAAAAAAGTGAAGATATTGTGAATACAATTTTTATGTTGTCGAGCTAGTAGCACGAGTGGGACAATTTTTTCAGTTGTGTCTGACCTGGCATCATAAATCACGCTTTCTTTCTAGCTTGTCAAGCGAGTCCATTTCAAAGACAATGTCATGACATCTTGGTCCGATGTAGGTGGTACTGCAGTGTAGTTTATTCTTGACAAATCATCAATTGATTATGTGAGATTCACGTTGTTTATATCTCACTAATTTATCGTAGGTCAAGTATTTTAAATATGAAAAAAAATAATATCTCCAGTTGTACATAGGTTGCTAAAATTGGTTGATTGAGACTAATTAGGAAACCTTGTGTTTAGTTCCAAGATTCATGGAGATTTTCCTTGACATATTTGTTCCGCCCTCAGCATGGACAACAAGGAATATTTAGGTGCAGCTGCAAGGCCGAAGACTTGCTAAGGAGTATTTAAAGAAATTACGTAAACCTAATGAAGCAAGAAATTTAAAAATAAGGGGAAGCCATATTTTCTCAGTCTTGTTGTCTGAGGGTTCTTTAAGAAAGTTTCTGTTTTGTTTGTACGTCCTTGTGCATA